AATAATCTAACTGTCATGTGAATTTTATATTTTAGAAACCAAGTATATCATCATCGACGGCTGACAAGAAATTTGCTCGGCGGTTTCGAGAGAGGCGTGGTTGTCAATAGAGTAGATTATCGATATCGTCATTGCAAATTAATTGAATGTTCTGACAGATTAAAATTTATGGTTTTGACAAATATTTTATCAATAAACGATCTGCGTTATCCTTTCATCAATCTCAAGCCGTATTGTTTACACCATTGTCTGTTTGTACTGATTTCTTTGTCTGAAAAGCGCCCTAAATAATTTAGTGTCTTTATTCGAATAATAGGAAACTTTACAAAGTGTGAGTGTGTGCTCTATTAATTGCGCTTGCTATATTCTCAAACTTTCGAACGGATATCAAAACCAGAGCTACAGCTAATCTACTTAGCGATGATGATTCTATGCAATGAAGCTACTAATACATACAGACGAGCATTTTTATAGTTTCATTTGCCCAGCCAATAATTTTGGATACATTTAAATGCGGATTAAATATTTGACGTGCAATAATCGCAATGTTAACAGTAGCACCTAACACATAAAATACTCATCACTAATGGCTATTACATCAACATTCCACGAATACATTATCAGCTCGATCGTGTCGTCTAATGTTTTCTTCTTCTTCTTTGACATATAGAAATTGATTCTCGTAGATTCAATTTTATAAAAACGGTTATCGAAATAAATTATAAAAATGCTTTTATAGTTTTCGTTAGACTGCTCATATATCTTAAACCCAATTAAGGTCAATAAGTTCTGTTCGACATTACTGCATATGTCAACAATTTCAAAAACGCTATCTATTAAAGTGTTGATTCATTAGCGAACAATATTATCAACCATCTGCCTTCAAGGTTCCACCGTTCGTTTAGAATGATAGATGTTACGCGGGTTGAGACCAGAAAATCTGAACGAACATTTATGGCATAGCGTATAATATCGTGCATGGTTGGGTTCGCCGTAACGTTTTTTATCTTGTCAGCGCGTGTCCTTTACAATTAAAAATAACACTTACTTTCCGATTCGAAGTAGACATTGTCTCATATCGCGACATCTAATCATGCCTTGACCGTGATTATAGCGGATAAAATGCCATGGGACGATTATCTCCTAACGCGAATTTCTCGAAACATGGCGATTAATCGAAGTCCTACATGAAACAGTTAATCTATCCATGAGAATGCATTTGGAGTATACGTTTATTTCATTCATTACACAATTTATGCATTAGCAATGCTATTCTCTTCTGTACGATATGGAATCTTTGATGTGTGAGCTGGTGCATTGTCTTCCTGAAAAGTGTATTTGTTCGGGTTTCTGGGAAAATGCTTTGAAGCATCTCTTTGCATATGTTTCCAGTTACTGAACCTTTAAGTGGAACAATTTGACCCAACATTAAAACGGAAAAAAATGTGCCCGAACATTCTTTGCGGAGAATGTTTTACTATCGATGCAATACAATCACAAAACTCATTACGCGAAAGATCGAAAATGATGAAGATTATTAAAACGAGCCGTAAAAGATTAAATCAACAACAATTTATTTAGGCAAATATGGTATAAGAGTCTTAATATTAACAATTTTATTATATTTTGACCGTAGCAATACTTTTTTGATAACGCCACCCCATACTCTGCTATCCTAGCATCTACATGGTAATATCCTCTTTCAGCAAACTCTGCCTATTCCCCATCCTATTTGGCCGGCTCCATATACTTGATAAGTACGTGCGGGTCCAGTATCAATATTACGGAAAAGAGTTGTGTCGTCGTCGGCGAATCTGGCCTCTGCTGCTACGGCGCCGCGCCAAACGTTAGTGTTGAGGATAAGCAGCAGGAATCCTCATTTTATCCTCTGTAATTTAATTACCACGAATTATTAAACGCCGTTCATCCCCAGTGACAGATTCTGAGGGTTCTGCATGCGTCTCTTCGCAACTGGTTTGTGCCATGCGAATGTCACAGAGTTCCGCATGAGTCTCTTGGAAACTGGTTTTTACCATGGGTTTGTGACCGAGTTCCGCATGAGACTCTTGGAAACTGGTTTTTGCCATGGGTTTGTGACCGAGTTCCGCATGAGACTCTTGAAAACTGGTTTTTGCCATGAGTTTGTGACAAATTTCGATTCCCCTTGTTCTTGAAATTCGTCCGTCGTCAGCGGGTTTGTTTTGAGCGACTGGTGTCGTGCCATGGTGTATGTGACAGATATCTGAGGGTTCTGCCCGCGCTTCTTCCCAACCATGGGTTTGTTATGGAATAATTTGAACGTTTCTCTGATGCAACGAGGACTGTTCCTATGGCAGAGTACGAAGGCGGTGCATATGGATAAACTATTGAGATTAGAAATCGCCATAATAAGAGTTTTACATTCGCTGCGGTTTTTACCGTCTAATTTAATTGTGCTCGCACGTGATCTTATTGTCGATACATAATACTGTAATAGTATGTAACAACGGAAACGGATCAAATAATGAGGAAGAGTGGATCTTTGGATTGTTTACGTAGTGAGTAGGTCATGGGTGAGAAAGATTATGTGCTGTTTAAGTGTGAGCTGATGCTTCGCTCTATTGTTTTTTCTGTAAATGTGATTCGGACAATAGAACCCGTATTATTATATGCTCTAGCAACAAAAGGGAAACGTGCTTGCTAATTTCTTGTATTTGTTCCTTTATTTTTCTGGCAATCAGCGGAGGGACCAGCCCTTTCGACCGATAAACACGACGAAACATGTATTTGGGAAAATATGAGCTTAATAATATTCTCTACTGATGAGATTAAATCGGTAATTTCTAGGTCATCAGAACGGAGATTTGGTCTGAACAGATAATCTTGCTATTACGGAGAAGCGTGGGGAAGAACGACGTAGCGGCGTTTTGCTAGTGCGACAATTTCATACCGTTATATTCTATTCTAATAAGGTCGTGGGTACTATGAAATGTTCCAGAAACGATTAAACTATGTCAACAGGCAGAAGAACCATACAATCAGGAGTGTTAAAAACAGGAAATGGTATAGCGAGCGTGGAAGGGTGGTTGAATTAACGTTGATATGCTCAATTCGATCTTGCTCGTTAATGGTGAAAGACAATTGAACTTTACGAAAAGGGAGACTAAGGGTATGCTATATAGCACACGGTTGGACCATGTTATCTGTTGGGAATCGGAGACAAGCAATGCAATTTGTTCGAGATAAAGACTTAACGAAGCACAGCATCTCCCACAGCGACAATTAAAAAGGATTGCAAATTGTGACGCGTGGAGAAGAACGACGTAGCAGCGGTTTGCTGGTGCGACAATTTCATTCCGTTATATACTATTCTAATAAGGTCGTGGGCACTATGAAATAGAAATGTTCCAGAAACGATTGAACTATGTCAACAGGCAGAAGAACCATACAATCAGGAGTGCTACAAAACGGGAAATGGTATAGCGAGCGTGGAAGGGTGGTATGCTCAATTCGATCTTGCTCGTTAATGGTGAAAGACAATTTATAATTGGCGCGCGTCAATAATCATTGAACAATCTTGGATTACGTTTATAGCAACAGAGTGTATTCGTCGTGCTACGCGTCTTGATGTAAGTACACGTTTTTTGGGGGGAGGAGCTGACTTGTTTGCCATGATCCCGTTAGAGTTGATGCACTAATATATTGGATTCACTCAGATATCTCAATTACGTTCACATAAAACTTGGTGAATGGTATGTAAGAATAATTGCTAATTTACAGTTGGGAAACACTGGACTAATTGATCGATAGTAACGCAGTGTATGACTAGGTCCCATCTAAATTCTGAAGTTTCGTACGCGTATTGAATGATCACGTATGCTGCTATCATAGGCCTCATTATATTTAACTATCGATCTTTAGGATTTCCATAGTGAGTAAAATATAACATTATCAGTCTTTATTCTTTCAAAGCCGTTACTCACTAAACGTTGGATTTCAGGGCAATATTTTATAGATGAAAATGGAGGACCGATGACAACGGATCTTGGTCTCTCATAATATATTAGTCTCTCACGAACCGACCAAGTCGTGGTTTCTTCCAGTCGCTCTTCGAATAATCTAATATATGGCTTAGTAGCGTATACGCCCCCGGAAAGACTTAAAGAATTCTTCACTATCTTTTGACGAAAAAACAATGTCATTGGGAGTGAATATAACAATGGTTCAGAGGGAGAAATTTGAGGAAGGTACATACCTCTGCCGAACAAGGAATTATATAATAGAAAGATGGCAGGAAAAATTTTAATCTGTTCGTGTGATATGTCGGTTACCAAGTTTGCACAATTCGAACACGATTTATAAAAGATCATGTTCTGTTAGGACAACTGTATCCGATTCTTAGGATTTTAAATGAGTAGATAATAACGCCGAGTGCTGAACATTATATTCGTTTACTAATCAATTTGGTATTTCTAGCAAGAACTAGTTGCAGATAACGCCCAAGAATTCAATCGCCCCAATACGCACACACAGGGCTTGCAATCGTCTATTTGCTCCCAAATACGATCAAACATGGACAGTGATGAAGAGGGTAGATTTTGCCGAGTTTGTGTTTGTGCGGTGCGGAGACTGGTTGTGTGCCAATTAACAAGTTGACGTAGCGAATACAAATCTTGGTCGACGGGATCGCTGAAGGCTGTGTTCTGTCAATTAGGAACTACAACTGCCGAAAGCTTGTGGCATTGGGCATGCCGGATATAAAGAAAGAACTTTGCTTTGATCGGACCAATCTCGGATTGGGTATTATCATTGTATTAGTACAGACTGCATCCAATGAGCATATCGACGATAAAATCAACGATAATCCATTCTGTCGGGATTGAATAGCAGTCAGGGATATTAGCTGAAATGCTATGCGGAAGCCAGTTAACATGCAATCACTCTACGTTGTCTTTTCTGTCTCCAATGCTCTTGCTTTCCTTCCAGTTGCTGGCTGTAAAATCATCACCCCGCCGTATGCTTGAAAACTCATGATCGCCTGATACATAATTTTCATGCTCTTGTACATAAATGTCACAGCTACCGCCTGGTACATAATTTTCATGCTCTTGTACATAAATGTCACATTTTATTTGTTTCTCCAGCGTGCCCGCTAGTTATGCTTTCTCACACCTTACATTGAACTTGCGCGGTAGGCCTGTAACTGTACTGATTGATTCGATGAAAGGAAAATTCAGCTGCTTGTCCAGAAATCATTGTAAATGAAGCACATTGTTAGCTTCGCTTCATCACGGGTTACTTCTTAAATTGGTTCGTTATTACAACTCACCTGTTGCCAATTTAGTGCAGATATCTAAAAATTCGTGTATAACCATCAATTATAGATTCACGTTTCCTCAGTTGCTTTCGTGACCATGTTTCTACTCGATCGATTTATTTTGTAACGAGTCCAATTTCAGTCCATTTGAATACAATCGGTAATTATTTTAATATGCATGTGTACTTTCCATCATGTTTGATGAATATTCCTTGTTGC